TCACAGGTATATATGGATATATATCCATAAAGAAGGATAAATTTTAGTCATTTGTAGGAAAGGATATGAATCTTGTGACCATAAGAGAAATAAATCAGATGCAGAAGGTGAAATATCATATGACTTCTCTAATATGAGATACACAACATATAAATAAAAAGCACAATAAAAGGTGTTAGGGAACAGAGAGCTGGGCAGGAAATCTGGAGAATGAGAAAGAGGGAATGCTGAGGGGGAAAAAGGTGTCAAAATGACCAAGATATGAAACATATATGTACCAATTCTCCAAGATGAATGTAATTATTATGTATCACAAATATATTAATAAAATTTTAATGACAATGGTAATTCTTCCCTACAGCCTCCAGAAAGACCAAAATCCTATTAACACTTTAATTTTAGTTTTCAGGCTTCCAGAATTGCAAAAGAACAAATATCTATTATTTAAACCTACTAAATTTGAGATAATTTTACAAACCAGCTGTTTTAATGTCAGAATTTGTGTGAACATTAGTTTGTCCCACCCTGTATCTTTCAATCTTTGTTTATTAAAGTACCTTTTCAAAATAAAAGTATACAGCTGAGTATTGCTTTTGAAATTTAATATTAATGCCTTTCTTTCAATGTAGAATTTTAAAGATATTAGAAAATATGCACGTTAAAATTACAGTTAATTAAATTCAATAATAGGCAAAACTAAACTATCTACTGTAAACAAATAATTACCATTATAGTCAAGAAAGTCTCTGAGAAGCTACAATGATTATGATACAGAAGAAATCAAAAGAGGATTCTGAGGTACAAAAATGTTCTAATTCCTTGAGGTTATACCACTTTAACTTATAAATATTTGTTAAATCATACATAAGTGTTTAATCACTTCAGTAACTGTTATGCTTTATAATCAAAATATTAAAATGAGATAACTAAGAAAAGAATATGCACATTATAAACAAAAACTATATTAGTACTCACACATTAGAAGAGGGAAGATAATAAATATTCACTTGTTGAAATATCAAAACCAGAGAAGTGAAAGAGGGAACAACAAATTAAAATAACCAGTTAACACTGAGTAAAATGGAAGAAACATGATTAAGCTTATTACACATTATACTAAATTATAATGATCAAAATTCTACATTGAAAGAAAATATATAAAAGAATTTTCTTCAGACAATATGAAAGGAAGGACTGTGATCTTCAAAAGAACTGAAACAAATTAGATGAGCCATAAGATTGTTCTCCTCTTACTCTCTGGAAATAATTTCTAGAATGTAATACAAGTAGGGAAAAACAAGCAAAGCCCAATGGCCTTACTGTAGTGAAGAGGCAAAACTCAAAGTTCAGAAAGACTTAAGGACAGTAGAATTTTCAGAGAAGAATTTAGGAGAAGGAAATGACAATTCGAATAAAAGGCTCTGGAGATCAGCATAAAAGTATTGAGAGAAACTCCACAAAGCTGGGGGGGGCACTGAAAGTGAATAAGCAGAATCATTCCTAGAACACACACAGGTGCTGAAAATATTTTTATTTCACTAGTCATAGAAGAAAAGCTTCTAAAGACATGAGTTATTAGGTAGTGTCCTCAGGAGATATTGCATTAAGAATGAACCAAATTATTTCTACACTAAAAGTTGTTCCAAGCTGTTCCAAATATTCACTAACTGGCTTAAAATCAATCCTTGAAAAGGATGAATTGGTCTCAAATGACTTAACTTCATGTCAAAACTTCGTCTTGATATTCATTAAAGCAGAGTTTCATAATAGCAGTGCTGTGGACATTTTGAGCTGGGTAATTCTTTGTCATGTGGGGCTGTTCTGTATCTGGTAGAAGTCTTAGTAGTAATTATAGGATGTTCTGCAGCTTTCCTAGCCTCTATCTGTAGATCCCAGCACCAGTATCCCACCACTTTCAAAGAAAACACACATGTGCACAGTCCAGCACTTACCCATGTAAATTCCAAACTCTTTAGCATCTAATAAAAGATTACCAGTCAGGCAAAGAAGAAAGGGCAATCCATACAATAAGAAAAATCCATCAAAAGAAGCATACCATGGAATGACAAAAATGTTTCATATTACCAGGTAAATGATAAAACATCTAAACGTACTTGTGTACACAAAAATATAGATAAAAGATGAATATTATGTGGAGATAAAGTACATTTTGTAAAGGTGCAAATGGAGTCTTACACAAATAAATAAATATACAATCTGAAATTTCAAAAGTTATGTACTGGTTAGGATTAATAGATATGACCCTACAAAAGGAAACAGCAGTGTACTTGAAAACATTGAAAATATGCCAATAAAAGTTATTCAAAATGAGGCATAGGGAAAGAAAAACTGGACAAAAATGAACAAAGCTTCAATCAGAAGTCCAACATTTATGTAGTTGGGGGCCCAAAAGAATAGATGAGGAAGAAAAATATTTGAAGAAATATAAATTTTCTCAAAATTGCTTAACATGATAAATCTACATATCCAAGAATATTAACAAACTCCAAACAGTCTAATACAAGGAAAACCAGACTAGAGCAAATAACAATCAAATTGAAAAATCAGTGATAAAAAGATAAATTTTTTAACAGCTACTATAGAAATGGATGGAAAAAGATGCATATACATAAGATGTAAGGATGATAGTAATCTCATCAGAAACTATGCAAATTAGGAAACAATGGAATGATTCCTTTAAAAAAACAATCAACTACATACAGTAAAAATATTTTCTCAAAAACGAGTGAAATAAATATGTTTTGACAAATCTGAGTGAATTATTTGCCAGAATGCAAGCACTACAAGAAATAGTAATGAAATTTCTCAGGCAAAAAGAAAATGACACCAAATGAAAACCTGTCCCTACACAGGAGAATGAATCTCAATGCTAAATGCCTACAACATTTATGACACATGTATGTGCAACATGAATGACACATAGAGAATACTGAATGTGTTTATTAAATGAGTTTAATTAAGGATGTTAGATATTTTGGGGGTGCTGGGGATGGAACCCGGAGCCCTCTGCATGCTAGACATACCCTCCAGCACATAACCACATCCCTACCTCAATGAATTTCATTATAGGGGTTGGGAAGACCTTTCAATGATGTAGTAAATGTCAAAAAAACAATTTGCTGGATATATTTGTATGAGTGCAAAAAAAGTAAGGAAAACCACATGATGTTTCTCATGGGATACTTGAGAAGGAACAGTAATATGCTAAAGGATATAAAAGACGGAATCAACCAAAAAGACTTTTTTACAAGAAAGAAAAAATGCACAATGAAAAGCAGGCATTTATGTGAAAAGCAATGAAACTTTTTGAAACAATTCATGTATATAGACACATGTATATCTTAAACACAGATTTTAAATTAAAATTTTTAAATTTTAAATTTTAAATTATGATTAGCTTTATTACAACAATGTTGTTTTAAGCTTTTATGTTTTCACAACATTGAGTTTTTGTTTTGTTTTTGTAAATGCTTAATATAGAATAAATACTTAAAACTCAAGACTAGAACAAAAATTGTTCTAATTTTCAGAAATTTCATTATGTTTCTGACTCGTTTCACTACAAAAAAAATCCAATCTAAATGTCAATAACCAGCCATTAGAGACAAGGGGGACCAGAGATGCAAAAATTTACTTGAGAAATAATTATAAAATTGGGATTAAAGATGTTCTAAATGAGCAACTGTTAGAAAAGATAAAAGATTTCATTAAAACAATATTCTAGATTGGAAAAGACTATGAACAAAACCTCAGCAGCACAGGAACTAGCACAAAGAATCAACAGCTGGGATCTCATCTTATTGAAAAGCTTCTGCAACGCAAGAGAAACAACCAACAGAGCTAAGAGACAACCAACAGTGGGGGGAAATTTTTATCAGCTGCCTCTCAGCAAAAGGAATATTATCTAGAATATATAAAGAACTTTTAAAAAGTCAGAGCCCCCAAATATAAAGACCCAATTCAAAAATGCATCTGAAATGAACAAAGAAGCAAAAGCAGCAAATAAACAAATGAAAAAATGTTAATCACTGGTCATTCGAGAGATGGAGATTAAAAACAACACAGATTCCACTTCACCCCAGAAAGAATGGCTTCCATCAAGAAATCAACCAAAAACAAATGCTGGCGGGGTTGTGGGGAGAAAGGAACCCTTCTCCATTCTTGGCGGAAGTGCACACTGGTGCAACCACTGTGGAAATCAATATGGAGATGCCTCAAAAAACTAGAGTTAGTGGTCCCATTTGACCATCTGCTGGGCATCCTTCCAAAAGAATTAAAAGAATCATACCACAGTGATACATGCACACCCATAACAGCACACTTTATAATAGCTAAAGTGTGGAAACAGCACAAGTGCTCATCAACTGGAGACTTGAGATGTGGGGTGTTTTTTTTTATAAAATGGAGTACTGCTCAGCCATAAAGAATGAGAAATTAGAGACATTTATAATTAAATGGATGCACATTGAGGCCATACTCAAGTGAAATACATAGGACACACAGGTGTAAATACCAAATAGTTTCTCTGGTGTGAGAAACTGAATATGTAAATAAGGATCACAATGAATAATTGATAATGTGAAACAGGAAGAAAAGGTCTAAAGGGGAAGTGGGAGGACTAAAGGGAGGGAAAGAAGTGAAAAGAAAAAACATGGGAAAAGCAAAAAATGGAAACAAAGTCTTTGTAAATAAGAAGGGGTGGAGAGGTTGAAGGGAGAGCAGGGGAATGGGGAAAAAAATAAGAACCAAGATACATCATGTAAAGGTACAAGTTTCCAGGGCCGGGGATTTAGTTCAGTGGTTCCACCGCCTGCCTCACAAGGGAAGGGACCCGAGTTTGATCCCCATTACCAAAAAAAAAAAAAAAAAAAAAAAAAAGGTACAAGTTTCCAATGATGAACGCAACTGTATTATATACCTAAAATGTACCAATAAACTTCATGGGGGAAAAAAAATGATATGCTAGAATAGGAACTTACCTCTTTCAAGTGTTCTGCCTGCTCATTACTCTGGTGTGATTCCTCTTTAGAACACAGAACAGGAGGAAGGCTGGGGCTGAACGCCATGAGGTCCGTCTTGGGCGGGCCCTCCCCAGAGCACACCCTCTGTCCCCTCTGCTGCGAGTATGACCAGCTCCCCACCGCGCTCGAGCAAACCAGCGTGGGCTTCCCAGGCCCGCACGCGCTCTCCGTGTGCGCCGCTGAGCAACGCAGCGCCGTGTACAGCAGCAGAGTGAGCACCAACAGGCTGGACACCGCGCAAATCGCGATGATTAAGTATACGTTTACGTCCACTAACGTCACTTCCGGTCCTGAGTCCCCTGCTAATGCCCGCAATGAGGCCTTAGGCGCCTGCCCGCTCTCCACCAGGGACACCAGCACAGTGGCGGTGGCCGTCAGCGCGGGCTCCCCGTGGTCCCTCACCAGCACCAACAGGCGCTGGCGCGGCGCGTCCTCCTGGTCCAGGGCGCGCGTGGTGCTGATCTCGCCCGTGTACAG